AACCTCCAGCTCCAGCACCCTCAGCAGCTCCAGACCCTCCAGTAGAAACAACTCCAGTGGCAGAGTCACCAGCTCCAGCGCCTCCCGCAGCAGGGCCCCTAGCTCCAGCAGCGCGACCCTGACGGCCAGCGTACCACTCAAACAGCTGCTGTGGGGAGAGAGGGAGTCGACGACGAGAGTGCAGCGGCGAGGCACCAGCGGAGCGACTACGGAGACGGCCGCTCCCGGGAGACTGCTCACCAGACGCCTCAGCGCCCCCGGGCTCAGCACCCCCAGACTCCTCACACCCAGGCTCAGCACCTCCACTCTCCGCACCCCCAGGCTCCGCACCCCCAGGCTCAGCACCCCCAGGCTCAGCACCCCCAGGCTCCGCACCCCCAGGCTCAGCACCCCCAGCAGCAGCACCACCCTCAGCAGCACCTGAGTCACCAGTGACCTCAACCTGAGGAGGAGGGTCTACCTGAGACACACCTGAAGGAGCAGGACCGGGAGCGGGGAGGGGGTCTACCTGGGGAGCACCTGGAGCAAGGAAGAGCGGCGGGGGGGGGAGAGGGGCAGTGCGGTAGGGGAAGAGACGGTAAAAGGGAACCAACTCGTCGAACGTGACGTCCTGAGAGGGGAAGACACGGCGCGAGGTGGGGTGGTAAAACTGCCAACCAGGCGCGTCAGGGACAAAGCCAAGGAAGACACAGGGAACAGCGCGGGCGGAGAGCTTGTCCGCAGTGGTATCGCGGACAAAGGCACGAGCACCCCAGACCCGGAAACGCGACGCATCGCCAACCTTCCCCGTCCACAGCAGTGTGGGCGAGGTCTCCGGCAAGGAGACACGGGGCCAGAGGTTGAGCTGATGCGCGGCGTACCGGACCGCAAACGGCCACAGAAAATGGGGGGCAGCCGCATGGATCATGGAGGTACGAGCGACCTCCATGACTAAGCCAATGCGGCGCTAAGCAACCCCATTCTGCTGCGGAGAGGCCGGAAGCGTGAACGACTGGCGGATGCCGTGCTCCGCACAGTAGGCTGCCAAGAGGTCTGAGGAGAACTCACCACCTCTGTCAGAGTGCAGACGCAGGACAGGAAAGTCCGAGTGGAACCGCTCGCGGAGCTGGAGACGAGCAGCGCGGATCCAGGGGATCAAAACATCAGGGACCTCCCCCTTGCTGCGCAAGGGGAAGACCGTGGTGTAACGCGTGTAGTCGTCGATAACCAGCAGGAAGTACCGCTCGCGGCCCTGTCCACGGACGCGGGCTGGGCCCCACACGTCCAGGTGGAGAGTCTGCAAGGGAGCCTCTGTGGGAGGGAACGAGGAGGAGTGAGGAGCGGCGCGCTGCCACCCCTCGATACAGGGAAGACAGGGAGGAGCAGGTGAGGGTGGGAGGGGAGGGAGAACCCTGGGAAGACCAGAGACAAGGACCCGGCGGTGCATGCTGCGAAGGCGCTGCACCGAGGGGTGACCAAGGCGGTGGTGCCAAAGGACCGTCTGGTGCGACAAGGCGCGACACGAGCATGGGGCCGACAACTGACCTGACGTAGACGCAGACGCAGCTACCTGAGGGGACTCAGTGGTCAGTGTGTACAGACTCGAGCCAGGCTCTCGGGTGAACGTGGCCAGGCGCCGACCAGTCCGGGAGCACGTACAGTGGGTCACACGCTGACCTCCAGGGGTGAACTGGTCAACCCACACATCCTGTAGGTCAGCTCCACTCACCAAGTTCGTAGAGAACGAGGGGAGGTGAAGACCTGACAGGGAGCCAGACGGGACCGCAGGACACGGCAAGACCGTGGAGGAGTGCGCAAGTACTGGACCCCCAGAGGGGTCTGCCAGGGAGACTGCAACCGGCCGACGGAGCAGCGTGAGTGTGGTGCTGTCGCGAAAGAAGGAGCGGGAAGCACCTGAGTCAAGTGTGAAGGTGTACACGGCCTCAGCAGGCGCAGTACCAGAGAGAGCAGACTCACCAGCACCTGGAGCAGCAGCCTCACCAGTACCTAGAGCAGGAGACGCACTAGCACCTAGAGCAGCAGCCTCTATACCTGGGTCAGGCGGTACGCACAGGGAACAGGCACGGTCATCACTAGTATGCAATGCATACATGGCAGTGAGAATAGCATCATAGTCAAGAGCAAAGATATCTACCCCCTGCCCAAGCAGCTCCAGCCAGGTGGGGAGCTCAGCCTCGTCACCAAACTCGGTGCGCCAGTCGTCACTCAGACGGGCGAAGCAGCGGGACTGTGTGTGACCAGGCATCCCGCAAGGCTGACCAATCCGATCACCTGTGCGAATGACGTACGGGCAGCGAACTGGACTCAAAGACCCTCTACCCTGAGCGTACCACTCGTGAAGCTGCCGGGACGTAAGTGTCTCTCGCGAACGCCGCTGCAGCTGCGGCTGGCCACTGCCAGACGCTCCCAACGGACCAGCTCCAGGGCTACAGCCACGACGGCTACCGCCACAACCCCAACTACCGTACCACTCACGAAGCTGCTGGGGCGTGAGAGACTCGCGCGGGCGGCGCTGGAGCTGCATCGCAGCAGTAGCAGCAGCAGCAGCCTAGCAGCAGTAACAGAAGTAGCGGCAGCGGTAGCAGTAGCAGCGCGGGCAGGCAGGCAGGCCGACAGGCAGGCAGGCAGGCCGGCAGGCAGGCAGGCAGGCAGGCAGGCAGGCAGGCCGGCAGGCAGGCAAGCAGGCGGACAGGCAGTGCGCTAACAAGGCAGGTGCTCACCAGTGGCGGAAAGAGCAGGCGCTCGTCGGGCGAGCAGGGCCGGCGCTCGGCGGGCGGCTGCACGGGGTCCAGGGGCGGCTGCACGGAGTCCAGAGGCGGCTGCACGGAGTCCAGGGGCGGCTGCACCAGGGGCGGCTGCTTCAGGGGCCAGGGGCGGCTGCTCTGGGTCCAGGGGCGGCTGCTCAAGGGTCCAGGGGCGGCTGCACCAGGGGCGGCTGCTGCAGGGGCCAGGGGCGGCTGCTCAGGGTCCAGGGGCGGCTGCACCAGGGGCGGCTGCTGTAGGAGCCAGGGGCGGCTGCTCTGGGTCCAGGGGCGGCTGCTCGAGGGTCTAGGGGCGGCTGCACCAGGGGCGGCTGCTTCAGGGGCCAGGGGCGGCTGCTCTCGGTCCAGGGGCGGCTGCACCAGGGGCAGCTGCTGCAGGTGCCAGGGGCGGCTGCTCTGGGTCCAGGGGCGGCTGCACCAGGGGCGGCTGCTCTGGGTCCAGGGGCGGCTGCACCAGGGGCGGCTGCTGCAGGGGCCAGGGGCGGCTGCTCTCGGTCCAGGGGCGGCTGCTCAGGGTCCAGGGGCGGCTGCACTAGGGGCGGCTGCTGCAGGAGCCAGGGGCGGCTGCTCTGGGGGCGACATTGGGGCAGGGCGGGGCCGCAATAGCGGGTAGAGCTCGGCACGAGGGCCGTAGGGGTGCGCGAGGACGGGGCCGAGCCGCGCGCTGCCAAGAAGGGGCGGCGCGGCGGGCAGAAAAGGGCGGCTCGCGGGCCCTACAGGTGCGCGACGGGCCAGCCGGGGTCGCGCGCTGCCAGCAGGGCAGCGCGACTGGCTCCCGTGGGCGGCGCGAAGGCCCTAAGGCGACGCGACGGGCGGGGCCGGGCCCTAGGGCGGCGTGACGAGAAAAAACGAAGAAAAAATGAAAATAAACGCGCGTCGCGCGGCCAGCAGGGCGGCGCGACGGGTGGGGCAGCTCGACAGGCAGGGGAAGCCCTAAAAAAAGAGAGGTAACGGTGGGCCCACTAGGAAATTAGGTCCTAAGACCTAAGTGCTCTGATACCATGTTACAATAGGGTGGTAGGGATGATGCAACTATCGAGAAGGTTTTGGTACAAAAGTGAAACCTAAGGGGTTGTACCCCACAGTGAGTGCCCCACTAAAGCCTACCTAAACTATAACATATAAACATATGTTTGACATTGCTTACGTGGCCTCTCGGGCCAACACTGCTGATGTCTTCACCAAGGCCCTTGGGGCTGGTGATCATCACCGTTTCTGCACTGCTCTTGGGCTTGTGCCCACTCTGCCTCACCTGTTGGTTGCTTGACTTGCTCTTGTTGTACACTGCTATATATCTTTATACCTGCATGTTTTCTCTTGCTAGGTTGTGATCAGTGTACTGCCTTGCTATTATATACCTCTGCATGTGAACTGGCCTTGTGGCCACTTGCTTGTGCTCAGAATGCGTGGTGACTTTGTGATCCACCCTGAGCTGTGTTCTCTTCTGCAGACTGGTCTTGTGACCGCTTGTTGTGTTTGCTGTCCCCTACTTTGCCTATGGGGTGTGTCAGATTACAATTGTATCTCTAGGCTACAGTAGGGTCACTCCTTAGTGAGTACAACACTTTAGGGTTAGGTTTCCCCTACTTGTACTCACCTCTTGCCTAGTTCAATCCATCATTCCTAGTTCTATTCTTGACATGGTTTAAGTGGTTGGGATTCTGACATGGTATCAGAGCGAAGGTCTCGGGTTCGAATCCCAGTGTGAGCACTTCGGGCATCCCAGTGCGGGGGGGTGTCAGAGGTCCACTGGTGATCCCCGATTGATCATAGGGAAGGGTTACAAGCACGTTGGCCTGGGGGGTTATGAGCGCACTCACCCGCTACACAAACAAGCCATTTTATCCCAATGGTCTAGTGGTTGGGATTCTGACAGTATTTGCTCATGCCTTCGCTCATACTTAGTACTCGTTTGACACCTTGTGCAATCCTCGCTATCTCGTTCCATTGCACCCGTAACATTTTCCAACGTTAGTGCAATCCTTGTTTACTCGCTACAGTACATTTGCACCCGAAGCCTGCCGAATTGTGCTTGCCAGCAGATCTCAAGGGATGAGGGATTCAAAGGTCCAATTTTTGTACCGTTTAGAGTTTACCACGACTGCTGTTCTTGAGTTGAGTTTCCAGGCTCAGCTGTTGTCCGATCGATTCCTCGCGTGGCCAGCAATTGTGCGACGAAAGCTTCTCTCTTTGCAACCGTGCATCGCGCTTCTATTCGCCCGGCTGTGTCGCCACGCCATGGCGACGTCGCGAATCACGCGCGACCTGGTGGGTGCCCTTGGGATGGTTTCCGCGTGTCCGCGTGTGAGCCCCTCGCGGGAGAATTTTCACCGGAATAGCCCACTTTAACGCTCCTTTCTCAACCCGCCCCTCTGCTCCTCCCCGCCCTCCCCTCCCCCCCCCGGCCGGCTTCTCTCGACTCTCCGCCGTCTTTCCTCGTTCGCCCTTCCCCGCGCGGCTCTGCTGCTCATCCGCCGCCCTCCGCTTGTATTCCCGCTATCGACATGCTCTCTCCCGCACTCTGCACTACCCTCTCTCCCTCGCCGCCCCGCACCCGCTCACTTCCCCCGTCCTCTCCCCCCAATCCTCCCCGCGCGCAGATGGCGGTGACGGCGGACAGGGCGCGCGAGGAGGGCGAGGACGCGGGCAAAAGCGGCGACGGGGGAGGGGGGGCGGCAGGAGGGCGGACGTGCCTGGTGCAGGGGTACCTGCTGAAGCGGTCAGAAACGGTGCGAGGCGGTGCTGGGGGGGAGTTGATGGGGGGGTTGGGAAGGGAGAGATGGCGATGCAAGGACGGAAGGGGTGTGATGGGCGGGTAGTGGGAGGGAGGGCAGGGACGGCGGGTGCATGCATGGCATGGCACTGCTCGTCTCTGCGCATATGCCGCCCATGGGGCCCGCCCCTTGCCCACACCCCCCTCCCCATTTCCGCTCTCCCGCGCCCCCCTTTACCCCCTCTCTCCGCCATTGCATCCCATAGCTGTCGCTGCGAGCGCCTCACCTCTGTGCGTCATGTGGCCCTACCGTGCCACCCTGCTCGCCGTGTCCTCTCTCCACCCCCCCGCAGCTGCACCTGTGGAACCAGCGCTGGTTCGTGCTGGACTCCACCACCGCGCGCATGGAGTACCGGTGAGCGCGGCACGCGCGGATGGGGGCTTGCTGGAGTAGACAGGGACGGATGGAACGGGTGAGAGGGAGTGGGATGGTTGGCAGGGGTGGTGCGCGTGAGAGTGAAAGAGCCACACGGATTGTCTGCATTCTCGAGACTCGTGTGCTATCAGCGTCGCGTCTGCCTCCACCTCCCTCCCTCGCACCCCTCGCACCCCTCGCGCCCTCGCAAGCTGCTCGAATCCCACTTGCAATCTATATTCCTCGCAGCCTCCCATCCCCTTAGCTACTCTCCCTCCCCCCTCCCCCCGCACCCCCCTCCTCCTCCCCCCCCTCTCCCACTCTCCCTTCACTATGCCGCGCCCCTCCCCATGTGTGGGGGCAGCATGCAGCGCAGCGACGTGTACCCACGCGGGCACATCTTGTTCGACGCCGACAGCACCATCACCGTCTCGCCCCTCAACTTCCAGTGCGCTCCCACGCCCCCGTCGCCCCATATGGCCCATGCCCCATGCCCCATGCCCCATGCCCCATGCCCCATACCCCCATGGCCCCATACCCCCATGTCCCCATGCCCCCATGCCCCCATGCCCCCATGCCCCCATGCCCCCATGCATCCATGCACCCATGCATCCATGCACCCATGCATCCATGCACCCATGCATCCATGCACCCATGCCCCCATGCACCCATGCCCCCATGCGTCCATGCCCGCATGTCCCCACGGCCCCATGCTTCCATGCCCCCATGCTTCCACGCTCCAATAACCCAGCATCTGTAATCCGCTTATTGCTCGTGTGCTCTGATTGTCCACATGCGTCTCACCTTGCTGCATGCTCGGCTGCCTGCCATCGAACCATAGTAGTGCATGCAACCTCATGGCACTCCACCTCATGCCTCTCATGTGCATGCACTCCCTCCATCCCACATCACTCGTGTGCTGCAGTGGAGCTAAGCAATACGACGGTTGCTGCTTCTGTAAGCTCCCTCCCTCCCTGCCTGCCTCCCTCCCTCCCTGCCTGCCTCCCTGCCTCCCTCCCTCCCTCCCTCCCTCCCTCCCTCCCTCCCTCCCTCCCTCCCTCCCTCCCTCCCTCCCTCCCTCCCTCCCTGCCCTCCCTCCCTCCCTCCCTCCGTCCCTCCGTCCCTCCCTCCCTCCCTCCCTCCCTCCCTCCCTCCCTCCCTCCCTCCCTCCCTCCCTCCCTCCCTCCGTCCGTCCCTCCCTCCCTCCCTCCCTCCCTCCCTCCCTCCCTCCCTCCCTCCCTCCCTCCCTCCCTCCCTGCCCTCCCTCCCTCCCTCCCTCCGTCCCTCCGTCCCTCCCTCCCTCCCTCCCTCCCTCCCTCCCTCCCTCCCTCCCTCCCTCCCTCCCTCCCTCCCTCCCTCCCTCCCTCCGTCCCTCCCTCCCTCTCTCCGTCCCTCCCTCCCTCCCTCCCTCCCTCCCTCCCTCCCTCCCTCCCTCCCTCCCTCCCTCCCTCCCTCCCTCCCTCCCTCCCTCCGTCCGTCCGTCCCTCCCTCCCTCCCTCCCTCCCTCCCTCCCTCCCTCCCTCCCTCCCTCCTCCCTCCCTCCCTCCCTCCCTCCCTCCCTCCCTCCTCTCTCCCTCCCTCCCTCTCTCCGTCTTTCCGTCCCTCCCTCCCTCCCTCCCTCCCTCCCTCCCTCCCTCCCTCCCTCCCTCCCTCCCTCCCTCCCTCCCTCCCTCCCTCCCTCCCTCCGTCCCTCCCTCCCTCCCTCCCTCCCTCCCTCCCTCCCTCCCTCCGTCCCTCCCTCCCTCCCTCCCTCCCTCCCTCCCTCCGTCCCTCCCTCCCTCCCTCCCTCCCTCCCTCCCTCCCTCCCTCCCTCCCTCCCTCCCTCCCTCCCTCCCTCCCTCCCTCCCTCCCTCCCTCCCTCCCTCCCTCCCTCCCTCCCTCCCTCCCTCCCTCCCTCCCTCCCTCCCTCTCTCCCTCCCTCCCTCTCTCCGTCTTTCCGTCCCTCCCTCCCTCCCTCCCTCCCTCCCTCCCTCCCTCCCTCCCTCCCTCCCTCCCTCCCTCCCTCCCTCCCTCCCTCCCTCCCTCCCTCCCTCCCTCCCTCCCTCCCTCCCTCCCTCCCTCCCTCCGTCCCTCCCTCCCTCCCTCCCTCCCTCCCTCCCTCCGTCCCTCCCTCCCTCCCTCCCTCCCTCCCTCCCTCCCTCCCTCCCTCCCTCCCTCCCTCCCTCCCTCCCTCCCTCCCTCCCTCCCTGCCTCCCTCCCTCCCTCCCGCTCGTCCTCCCTCGCACCTGCATATGCTTCCTGCATGCCCACCGTGAGCTGAAGTGGTCGAGCCTGGCAGCCCAGGAGCCACAGCATTTAGCTCCTGTGCCATGCCATGGCCTGCCGCAAGCAAGCACGCCAGAAACCAGCAACATCACGTGAGAAAATCTCTCTTCCTCTTCCCCTTGCTCGCTCCCACCTTACTCTCTCCGTCCCTGTCCCCCTCCCGGTTCCGCCCCCCGTGTGGTGCGGGGAGCATGGCAGACGTGGGCACGGCGGGCAAGAAGGAGTACTTCCTGTGCGCGGAGACGCCAGAAGCCGCCAGGGCGTGGGTCGTCACCATCAGGTGCCACCCTGCTCTCTCTGCCTCACGCACTCCGTCACGCCACCTGCTCTCTGCGCTGTGTGTGGCATGCTGATGCACGTGCCACTACCACCTCATCCCTTGTTTCACCAAGTCAGCCACCCCGTGCTTTCCGTTCCATCCTCTTCCAAGCGTTTTCTTCCATCCGTTCTAGTAAACATCACAAAGGTCCGCTAAATGGTTCATTTTCCCTGCGCGTAGTGTGTGTGTGCAGTCAGTCCAGTTCATATTTTGGCTTTCTCTTTCCTCTCAAAGCCTCGCGTTAAGCCACTTGTTGCCACTGCTTCCTTGTGAGGCTGTCTGCTGCGTCTCTTCATCCCCCCTCCATGCTTTACCTTGCCCTTTCCCTCTACTCATCCATCCCACTGCCCTGTGCCGTGCCTGCACTGCACATGCCACCATGCATCGCATGTGTGTGGTGGGATGCAGGGCGGCAGCGCAGGTGTTGAGAGCGCACCGAGCGGCCGTCAGTCTGCTGGGATCCGCCTCCGGTCCTGCTGTCTCCGGTGCGCTGCCCTCGCCACCCTGCTTTGTCACTGCACCCATTCTTTCACCATGCCATAACTCCCAGCACCTTGCTTCGTGAATCCCACCTTTTCGTTCAACACTGACCACAAATGTTACATTTCTCTTCTCTCTTCACCCCTTCCCCCCTTCCGCCCCTCTCCCCTCTCCCTTTCGTATCGCTCTCGCACTGAACCTTTGCTCCCTCCCTGCAGGTGCAGTGGCAGCAGCAACATCAGCAGCGGTGGAGGCGGCGGGGCAGGCGCAGAGGAGCGTGGCGGTGGCGAATGAGAGGGCGCTGCAGCACGGCGCTGCCACCGCCTTCTTCTCCCTGGGGGGCGCCACCCCCCTGCAAGCCGCCGCTCTCACCCCCACCAGCATCGCTGCTGCCGCCGCCGCCACCACCACTGCTGCTGCTGCTGGCGCGGGCGCCACTGGGAGTGCGCATGCGGCCGTGGGGAATGGGCGTGCGGGTGCTGGTGGGGGGGGGGGCAGTGCAGTGGCGGCCTCAGGGGACAGCGTGCACCTGCTCAAGGTGGGAAGGGACCCACGCACGGGCACCTACCACATTCCTCTTCCCCTCCTCCTGTTTGTTTGACCCATTCCGTTCTGTCTCTCTTGCCTTCCCTTACTCGCCCGTCACTTCCCTTGGTAACTGGTTCGCTGTCTGTCCCCCGTCATGCCATGCATGTGTGCAGGAGACGCTGCGAGTGAAGGACGAGGAGATCCATGCGCTAGCGCTGGCGCTGCGCGAGCGCGACTCCGCCATCGCTCACCTCACGCGCCGCCTCGAAGACGCCGCCGCCGCCGCTGATGCTGCGGCGGCAGCAGCGGCGCAGGCAGCGAGGGAGCGGGACGAGGTGCGCGCGGCTGCAGGCAAGCTGTGCGACGACCTGGAGGCGCGGTTCGAGCGGTCGGAGCAGCAGCAGGCGGGCAGCAAGGCGGGGCGGGTGGCAGCAGAGCAGGAGGCGGAGCGGGCGCGGGCGCAGGTGGCACAGCTGCAGGTGGCTCTGGTGGAGGCGAAGGCAAGGGCCGATAGGGAAGAGGCGGGCAGGCGTGCCGCGGAGGGGGGGATGCTGCGATGGAAGGCAGAGGCGGAGAGGCAAGTGCATGGCGTGGAGTGCGTGTGAGGGATGGAGGCTCGGGTGGAGAGGGGTGGTTCGGAGCTGGTGAAACGGATATGTGACGTATTGCAGAGCAATACTGTGCATGCATGTTGCTGGATGCAATGACGGTTCATTGAGAAGGTTGACGACAGCTGTGCCACTCTTGGTTGTTCCCCCCGCCACACCTGCTTGTCTTCTCCTTCTGGTGCCCAGGCCCATCTGAGGGGCTCACGATGCCTCCTTACTACGCCACACTCACCCCCCTCACAGTGTCTGTGCACCGCCTGCCCTGTGTCTCTCACCCTCACAGGTTCGTGACTGCAGGGCTCGCATCACTCACACCCTCGTGTCTATCCACCACCGCTACTGCCATTGCAGCAGGCACGCCAGCAGGCAGAGAGCCTTTATCTAGTTTCACACCTTCCACTTCCACATCCCTGCCTGCCCCTCCTGTTCGTCCAACCACCCTGCCGCCTGCTGATCCTCCTCTCACATCCCCCATCCCTATGCTCTCGCTCTCGCCATCACCGCCCTCCCTGCCACCTGTGTCCCATACCGCGAGTGCATGTGCCGTGCCTGCTGTGGACCCGCACCCTGCCCCTCTCACTGCCCTGCATACTCCACCCACCGTAACAGTTGTACTGCCAGTAGCAGCAGCAGCAGGAGGAGGAGGAGGAGGAGGAGGAGGAGGAGGAGGAGGAGGAGGAGGAGGAGGAGGAGGAGGAGGAGGAGGAGGAGGAGGAGGAGGAGGAGGAGGAGGAGGAGGAGGAGGAGGAGGAGGAGGGGCCTTGTCTAATGCTCCAGCAACAGGTGATGGAAATTCTGATGCTAACACTGCTACACTTGCGGCTACTCCTGTTGGCGAGGCAAGTGCAGCAGATGCTGCCGCAAAGGCATCCGCGCATGTGAGCACCACTGATGCTGCACTTGGTGTCGCCTCCACCAAATACTGAAACCCTAGTCACACACCCACTCACCTTTGTAGCAGTGTGTACATGTTCGTACAGCTATCGTAGTCAGTGTGATATCGTATTATCATATACGGTAATTCGCAGTGAACTACATTGTAGGGGTAGCCCACCCACCACGCCTTTCTCACCCTGTAATACAAACTAATTTGGAAAGTGATGGGGGAAGTAGGAAAGTAGTTCGGATACCGTTCCATGTGAGTTGTCTATATGAATGGGCAGAAATGGCGACAACAAAAAACGTGACTATAAATGTTGGTCACTTTAGAAAGATTGTAGGTATTTCTGTTATCAACCAGGGCCTCAGATGTCAGCGCGAAAAGCCTGATTTAGGGTAAAAGGGCTGATTTTCCAAAGTTGGGGATAATGTGGGGCTGATTTTCTCATTTTTGTTCTTAAGGGATGGGCTGATTTTTCAGCGTTTTTTCGGTGTATGGGCTGATATTTCAGCGTTCTTTTACAAGTGTACACTAATTGATCAGCGTACTAACTGTTGGAAACAAGTATCTTAAGCGCTTCTGATGTGTCGCAACAGCAAGCTGAAAACGAAGCGAACTACAACGAAGCAATGGCGAGTCAACCATCGGAGGTTGACAAGAGAAGTAACTGCTAGGGTTACGCGAAGGTCAAAGGTCAGCGACCTTTGACTTGACAAATTGTGAGAATTAGAACAAGGAATGACTAGAATGAGAACAGTACAAGGTTTGTATAGGCAAAACCTAACAGGGCTGTACCCCATAAGGAGTGCCCCACTACAGCCTAGCGTATAGTTCTGACACACCCCCATAGGCAAAGTGGGGGACAAGCAAAAGAACAAAGCAAAGGTCAAGCTCAGGGTGGATCACGACGTCACCACGCATTCTGAGCACAAGCAAAAGGCCACAAGGCCAGTTCACATGCAGAGTTATATAAAGAGGAGAACAAGTAGTACAGTGATCACAACCTAGCAAGTGTAAGCATGCAGGTGCAGGTATATATAGATCACAGTACAAGCAAAGTCAAGAGGTGAGCAAGTGAGGCCAGGTAGGCACAAGACCTAACATAGTACAATAACGCTGATGATCACAAGGCTGAAGTGCCTTGGTAAAGATATCAGCAGTGTTGGCCCGAGTGGCCACGTAAGCAAGACGAAGCTGACCACGCTGCTGCAACTCTCGAGCAAGGAAGTAGTGCAGAGCAATGTGCTTCGTTCTGTGCTCCAGTCTGTGCTCCTGACACAAGGCAAGCATGGCCTTGTTGTCGACGTACAGAACTGGAGGAGAACGAGGCGCCACTCCCAAGTCGGTCAGCAGGTAGGTGAGCCAGCGTAACTCCTGTGCAGCCATGGCCCCAGCGTAGATCTCAGCCTCACAACTGGAGCTGAGAACAGAAGACGAGCGGGTAGACCGCCACGAAACAGAGCCGGAACCAAGGCTGAAGGTGTAACCCTGTGACGACCGCTGCGTAGCCAAGTCGTCAACCCAAGAAGCGTCTGCGTGACCAGTGAGGACAACTCGAGCCCGTCCTCCAAGCACGAGCCCCATGCCCGACGTACTGCACAGGTAGCGCAACACCCTCTTAGCTGCATCCATGTGCTCTGGTCGGTGTCTCCCAGGAGCAACATAGCGTGCCAAGATGCTAAGAGGGTATGCCAGGTCAGGTCGAGTGCAGGTCATCAGGTACATGAGGCAGCCAACAAGCTCTGGGTACGGGCCACTCGGCTCTACGGACTCATCCGAAGGCAGAGCTGAGAGCGAGTGGCGAGTAGACAGAGGAGTGGCCTGAGGCGAGGAGTACGTGAAGTTGAAGCGCTGAAGGACCTGCTGCACCATGTGTGACTGAGTCAAGGTAATGGTGCGCCGTGCTCTGTCCCGGGTGATCTGCAAGCCAAGATAGCTGCGCAGATCACCCAGGTCTGTGCACGTGTGTCTCTTCTGCAGCTCCGACTTCACGTGGGCCAGTCCAGCAGTGTCAGCAGTAGCAAAGGCCAAGTCGTCGACGTACACGATGATGTAGAACGGCGGCAGAGTGGTGTCGGTGCGGAGAAACAGCGACGGGTCAGCAGTGGAAGGAACAAACCCAAGAGCCGCAAGCGTAGTCCTCAGTGTGTCGTGCCACTCACGGGGCGCCTGGCGGAGACCGTAGACTGGCCGCCGGAGTCTCCACTGGGTACCTGCAGGAAACGACCCAGTGAAGCCAGGTGGGCGGCGCAGCCAGATCTCCTCGTGCAGGCTGCCCTGGAAGAAGGCTGTGCTGAAGTCAAGAGAGTGAAGCTCGTAGTCACGCTGAGCGGCGTCGTGCAGCAGAACCCGAAGAGTGGTCATCTTCGGGGTGGGAGAGAAGATCTGAAAGTAGTCAACTCCCTGCCGCTGACTGAAGCCTCGAGCCACGTAACGCGCCTTGAAGACAGGCGGAGAACCCGGCGGCCGCTTCACCCTGAAAATCCACATGCCATCGACAATGTTCGCCCCAGGTGGGGGAACCTCGTCGACGTAGGTGCCTGTGGACTTCCAGGAAGCCATCTCTGCGTCCATGGCTGTCTGCCATTGAGAGGAGTAGGGACCCTCTATCGCCTCTGCGTAAGAGCGCGGGGTCGGGATGTCTGGTGCATCCGGGTCTCCCTCAGGGGCAAGCAGCATGGACACGAGATGAGGTAAAGCAGCAGCAAAACACTGGAACTCGTCCTGCCTGTCCTCAAGGACGTCCGTGCTAAGAGCACACTCACCCCCGACGGACGGAGGACAGACAGACTCAGACTCAGCAACAAGACTAGCGGCGTAGTCTAGACGACAGTGAGCAGCAAAGTCGACAAGCTCAGCAACTAAGGCAGACGCAGCAGTGGACTCAAAGGAAGGGTCAGTGACAACAGTGGCCAGGAGACGCGTGACAGTAGGACTAGCAGCACGAAGGGAGTCAGACTCCGGGTCAGCAAGGGCAGGAAGAGAGGACGTAGGAGGAGACGGCAGAGCGGAGCAGTGGAAGGACGCAAAGCCATCTGGTGCGTGCCAGGGACAGGAGGAGGACGCTGACGCGAACCACGACGACTAGTGCGAGCTGCACGAACAGGCGACGCAAGACGAGACTCAGGCTCACGACGCTCCGTAAGCCCTCCGGTCGGACCAGTGTAAGGAGAAGGAGCAGGCAGTGGGGAGGCGGGCTGTAACTGTGACTGCGACTGGACAGGCGGTGGACACTCTAAGGAAGGAGCAGGACTAGTAGAAGGCGGGAGACCAAGAACCTGCTGAAGGAGCGGAACGAAGTACGGCCGCGGCCGCGCAGCGCCTCCAGAACCAGCAGGGACAGCACCAGCACCCCCAGCGTCAGCTCCAACTCCTGCAGCACCACCAGCTCCAGCAGCACCTCCAGCAGCTCCAGTAGCGCCAACTCCAGCACCCCCAGGAGCACCGGCTCCAGCAGCACCTCCAGCTCCAGCAGGACCACCAGAAGCCCCAGCAGCTCCAGTAGCGCCAGCTCCAGCACCTCCAGCAGCACCTGCTCCAGCAGCACCGCCAGCTCCAGCACCTCCAGCAGCTCCAGCTCCAGCAGCACCACCAGGCCCAGCAGCTCCAGTACCTCCAGTACGAGCACCTCCGGGACCAGTGGCTCCAGAACCCCCAGCAGCTCCAGCAGCAGCAGGACCTCCAGCGCCCGTAGCACCACCAACTCCAGCAGCACGGCTCCAGCGCCGAGCAAACCACTCGCGCAGCTGCTGCGGAGAGAGTGGCTCCCGCCGGGACGAAGCACCCGAAGGACCTCCAGGCTCAGCACCTCCAGACTCCACACGCGCAGGCTCAGCACCCTCAGGCTCCGCACCCCGAGACTCAGCAACCCCAGGCTCAGCACCCCCAGGCTCAGGACCCCCAGACTCAGCACCCCCAGGCTCCGCACACTCAGGCTCAGCACCCCCAGACCCGGCACCCTCAGGCTCAGCACCCCCAGACCCGGCACCCGCAGGCTCAGCACCCCTAGCAGCACCAGAGTCAACAGCTACCTCGACAGGCTCGACTGCGTCTACCTGGGACACACCTGAGGGGGCAGGACCCTGAGGGGGGAGGGGGTCTACCGGGGGAGGACCTGGCATGAGGAAGAGCGGCGGGGGGGGGGAGGGGGGCAGTGCGGTAGGGGAAGAGACGGTAGTAAGGAACCGACTCGTCAAACGTGACGTCCTGAGAGGACAGAACACGACGCGAGGTGGGGTGGTAAAACTGCCAACCAGGCGCGTCAGGGGGGAAGCCAAGGAAGACGCAGTGAACAGCACGGGAGGACAGCTTGTCCGCAGACAAGTCGCGGACGAAAGCTTGAGATCCCCAGACACGGAACGCAGACGCATCGCCAACCTTCCCCGTCCACCGCAGAGTAGGTGTGGTCTCCGGCATGGAGACCCGGGGCTGGAGGTTGAGCTGATGCGCAGCGTACTGAACCGCGAACGGCCACAGAAAATGGGGAGCAGCCGCATGGATCATGGACGTACGAGCGACGTCCATGACCATGCCAATGCGGCGCTCAGCAATCTCATTTTGCTGCGGAGAGGCCGGAAGCGTGAACGTCTGGCGGATGCCCTCCGCACGACAGAAGGCTCGCAGAAGGTCGGAGGAAAACTCTCCACCTCTGTCGGAGTGCAGACGCAGAACAGGAAGGTCCGAGCCGAAACTCTCACTGAGCTGACGACGGGCAGCGCAGATCCAGTCGATCAGCACCTCAGTGACCTCACCCTTGCGGCGCAAGGGGAAGACTGTGGTGTAACGCGAGTAGTCGTCAACGACCAGCAGAAAGTAGCGCTCGTGACCCTGTCCACAGACGCGGGCGGGGCCCCACACGTCCATGTGAAGAGTTTGCAGCGGAGCCTCCGTCGGAGGGAACTCGGAGGAGTGAGGAGCGGCGCGCTGCCGCCCCTCGACGCAAGGAACGCAGGTAGGGGCAGGCCCCGGGGGAAGGGGAGGGAGAGACCGGGGAAGACCAGTG